GGCGGTCCCCCCAACGCAAAGCTGGTGGAGCGCCGCGCAGGAATGGCCCCTGGCAGCTCCGTGGGGGCGAGGTGCTTCGCGGTGGGCATGGATCCCCTGGCCCTGCAGGATCCTGCAGCGTCTGGCACTCTGACTGACCCACGTCTGCATTGACCCCCGTCCCTCGAGCCGCGAACGGCACTCCGCGGACCCGCGCCGGAGCAGAGTCGGATCCGGTGCGGTGGCCCCGGCAGCCCTCCCAGCGAGTGGATGGGCCCCTCGCCGCTGGGCTCTCGTGCGGCCTCCCAGGGCGCAGGCAGACGGTCCCCTGGGCGGAGCTCACGGCCTTTGCGGGGGCCCTCGAGCTCAGCCGTTGCCCGCTCAGGTCCGTTTCGGGCCAGGAGCCTGCGCGAGGTCCACGCCCCCCGGGACTTGTCGTGGGCGGCGGGGAGCAGGCGTGCGGACGAGCTGGCGGGCCGAGCTGCGGCGACAGCGCGGGCCGAGTTCGCGCGCCACTCTCCCGTCGCAGAGGTGGCGGACGTGGAAGCCCTTCGGGAACCCTTCTGACGGCGTGCGCAAGGTGGTCGGGCCTGTTTCGCACAAGACATTCTCGCAACTCTGAGCTCCCAGATGCCGCGCAAGAGGTAGTCCAGCCTGGGGGCCCAGAAGACCACATGTTACATATCCTCCCTGGGACCCTGGGAGCCCGCCTGAGACATCCTCAAACTTCTGAGCTCTGAGATGCCCTGCGCGAGGTGGTCTGGCCCGTCTCGCCTGAGACATTCTCGCAACTCTGAGCTCCCAGATGCCGCGCAGGAGGTGGTCCGGCCTGGGGGCCCAGAAGCCCACATGTTACCTATCCTCCCGGGGACCCCGGGAGCCCCAGGAGGCCCCAGAGAGCTCCAGGAGGCCGCAGGACGCCCCTCGCCGATCTGTGGGCCAGGTCTCGGCCCTCCGACACGCACCCCGGTCGGCCGCCGAAATCCGAACTGGCCACGACTGGCCCAGGATTGGCAGCGTGTCTGCGCAGGAAATACACACTGGTCGTACAACGCGAGCGTCTCCTCGCCACGGCCCCGACGGTGTGTGCCGTTGCCCCTCCGTGCCCCGCTGGGGTGCAGGCGGATGCTGGGAGGCAAGGCGCTGTGTGACTCACACGTCGTACATAGCTGCGTTGGGTATACACTTGCGGTATACAGCAGGCGCGGGCGTACATCTACAACCGAGCCGCGCAACTTTCTGACCCAGCGAAGAGCTGTCAGTCCCAAGGGACCCAACTATGGCCCGCGTAGCTACAGGCCTATACGCTCACCCTCAGGGCACGCCCGCAAAGGTTAGAAATGCAAATCTGGTCGACTTGAAACACTTACATGGTTTCAAGTTTCGACTTCCGTTGTGGCATTGTCTTGGCGTATGAACGTCCACGTGGTGTCGACGTTCTACTCCTCCTACTCCTCCTCATCCCCCCCGTCCCTATGAGTAACTCCGCCTGTTCGCTGCAACAGACGAATCAGGAGAGCGGGCTGGACTGTGGCGCGTGAAACCTCATCACTGTCTGCGATCCTGGAGATTACCACTGGCTGGCAGCTACAAGGATAAATAGAGGGACGCCTCAGCGCTTTGCGCAGGACTGGCAGATTTCGGAATGGTTCCAGCAACTGCGAAGATGGACGGCGGGTCGTTTCCCTCAAACACATCTTCGCCGTAACTCCGCGCACTTTCGCCGCCAAACACCATCAGTTAGGAGGGCGGGTTGCTCCCCAAAAGTGGATCTCGCCGAAGCGCCGAGCGCATTCTTCTGAAACGCTGGCAACAGATGTAACTATGGAAGGCGGTTCCGTTCTGGAGCCGGGCTGTCTCTTGAAACGTCCAAGCAGCACACCGCCCGAAACTCCCGAGTTGGCAACACGTGCACGGAGTGATGCCGTCCCCTGAGCAAAGCGGGGTTCCCACCTGCGGCTTCCTCGTGCAGGCTGCCGCGGGTGGAGGTTCATTTCGAGAACGCCGCTCTCACTGGGCACCGCCGCACCGCCTCGCTCCTTGTCGCTCGCTCTTCTCCCCCCCGGCTCCGGGTTCGTCCTGGTCCCCAGGTGCCGTTCCCTCTTCTGCCTGCTGTTGCTCTTCTGGGTCGTCCACCCCGGGGGCCGCATTGCGGGCAGGGCGCGCATGGGCCCATTTTCGACATCCCTTGCCTGTGGCGTCAAAATCGCCCCGCAACCATCCGAAAGGGCTTCCAGACAATGCAAGAAAAGCCCCATGACAGCCCAAGATGGCCCCAAGACAGCCTCCGAAGCATTTCAAATCGTGACCCGGTCATTCAGAGTCCGCGGTTGGAGGCAGGGTGGCCCCCAGAAGACGCCCATGAGGCCTCCAGAAAGCCTCAAGAAGCCTGAAACAACTTTTGTGAGGCCCCCAGAGGCTCTCCAGGGAGGAGCCTCCGCAAAAAGAGTTGAGGAGGACGGCGAGAATACGCAGGGTATGGCGAGAATGAGGAACCATACACACAGAGGCTGGATAACGAATAATATTATTATAACGGCGATGGCGATAAAGGCAACAAGGAGTTATCGCTAACGTGTCGGCTTGACCTCCCTGTCATTTCGCCTGCATACCAAACTTCAAGGACCAAAGTGCATGGCGCGAAGAACGCCAATGCAGTATTTCATCTATTTAAAGTATATATTTCTACAGACACACGTATTAGAATTACTAGTAATATTCGTATCATCATTATTATTATCGTTTGTTTAATATGTATACATATACACACGTAGCACCCCGCAGTTGCGGAGAAGAGGGATGGGGGGCGGCGGAGACGTCGGCAGTGTGCGAGGCTCTGAAGAAGCCTGCCGCAGGCGCCTAATTGTTACAAGCTATACAACGAGCCCGCCGCAGGCGCCGATATTTTTCGTTAAAGCAATGTGGGTGGATCGCGGGTTGGTCGCGAGAGGGTCGCGGGAGGGTCGCGGGTGGGTCGCGGGCCAGGTCGCGGGTTGACGACGGCAACAAACAGCAACAGTTCGCTGCGCGGAACCTCACTTCAGCCATGCTCCCAGGGACAGTGCATGGCCGTGTGGCCCCATCACTGGCAACAAACATATAGAAGCAAAGCAACAAAGAGGACACACACACACACCGTCTGCCCGCTACCCCGCAGGGTGCGGGCACCACCTGGCCCCGCCGCCGGAATAGGAGGAATAGGAGGAATAGGAGGAATAGGAGTAGGAGGAGGAGGAGGAGGAGCAGGAGGAGGAGGGGGAGGAGGAGGAGGAGGAGGAGAAGGAGGAGGGATAGGAGGGATAGGAGGGATAGGAGGAATAGAGGCAGGACCTCCCACCGAGAGCCGTGCCTCCCGCCGGGGAGAGAGCGATGCCGCAGGGCTCCCGGGGGCGGGCCTCGGCGCCGTTGGCCACCCACGGGACTGAGCGGGGCCTCCTCCTCCTCCTCCTCCCTCCTCCTCCTCCTCCTCCTCCTCCTCCTCCTCCTCCTCCACCTCGCGGGCCCAACGCAAGCGCGGAGCCGCCCTTGGAGGCCCATGGCACACGAAGGGTACATGCCCGACCTGGGCGGAGGGCACCCGGAAGGGGAGGGTGCGTGGCGGCATCGCTGGTGCACCCTGGGTGTGCTCTGGCCGTCGTCCTCCTGCTCCTCCTCCATCGCCCCTCTTCCAACTCCCCGAGCCCTCCTCCTGCTGCCGCTGGTCCTCCCACCCTCTTCCCTCCGCCTGCCCCTCGCGCTACCCCTCCCCGCCCGCCCCCTGTTCCTCCCATCGGGCGCACGCTAGCATGGATTAGGAATCCGTGGATCTGGCGCGTCGGCGCCACCAGATCTGGGGGGAAGCCAAAAGGGACCAATACCGCAGCTCCCCGAACCACTCCCGGGGGGGGGGCACTGACCAGGAGTTCGAAGCGAATCCAGCGCTGGCGACGAGGGCCTCCCAGGAGACCTCAAAAGGGGAAAGCCAGGGGAGGACAGCGGCGTGGGCACCTCTTCTCCTCTGAAGCTCCTTGGGCCGGGGGAAGGTGCCCCCCGAAACGGGAGGCCAGTGCCGCCCGATGTGTCGACGAAGCCCCGCGATGTCGCACGAAGACGGGGCCCGCCGCGAAGCCGCGCGCCCCAGAGCCCAAGCCTGCGACTCCTCGGCGCTCGGCGCTGCCCCTCTCTTCCCCCCTGCCCCCCCCTCCTCCCCCCCTGCCCCCCCTCTCCTCCCCCCTGGCCCCCCTCTCCTCCTCCCCCCCTGCCCCCAGCATCCCTCCTCCGCCTCCGACCGTGCCCCCTCTTGACTGCCCCCGCCCCTGCCTCCCACCCCGAGCTCTGCCCTCGGCCCTCCTTGAGGATCAAGGGATGTCGAACGTCTACGGACGATTCTTAGACGCTTCCGGCCCCTTGCCGGCCCTTGTCGGGCCTCCAGGCGCCTCCGGGGACCTCCGGAGGGCAGGCTCGCGGGCGGGAGCAAAGCTTACCACCCCTCCTCTGCCTCCCACGGCGACGACCCCGAGGCGCCCGAGGCCTGGTCCGGCCCTGCATCACCCTGTTGGAGGGGCTGGGCACGACCTGCGACGGTCCGTCTGGCCGGAGGCAAGTCGTCTTCGCCGTCGTCGTCGTCGTCGTCGTCGTCGTCGTCGTCGTCGTCGTCGTCGTCTTCGTCGTCGTCGTCGTCGGCGTCGGCGTCGGCGTCGGCGTCGGCGTCGGCGTAGGCGTCGGCGTCGTTGTCGTCGTCGATTTCCTCCTCGCCCTCCTTCTGGTCCTCCTAATCCTCCTTTTCCTCCTCCTCTCCCACCTCTCCCTCCTGAACCTTCTCCGCCTTCTCCTCCTCCCTCTCCTCCTTCTCCTCCTCCTCCTCCTCCTCTTCCTCTTCCTTTTCCTCTTTCTCTTCATCCTCCTCCTCCTCCTCCTCCTGCTCCTCCTCCTCCTCCTTCTTCTCCTCCTCTTCCTCCTCCTCCACCTCCTCCACCTACTCATATCTGCCTTTGCTTCCCTTCCTCCCCATCCCTCCTCCTCCCCTCTCTGCTAATCATGTTTTGCATGGACGTACGTATGCCAAACATGCAAGACGTACGTTTGTCGAACGCATTACAACGAACGAAGCTAAGCCAGAGCGCACTCAATCCGTGCGCCAAAGCCCAAAGGACAAGCCGTCCCAGGTTCATCGGCATGGGCAACGTTTGGCTGTGCTACAAGACCCGCATGCCGGCTAGGCGAGCGAAGCTCACTCCGAGCCCTCACTATGTACTCTCGCTAGTACCATGAGCTGTCCACCGTCAGGTTGTCTGGGAAGGTCTGGAAGACCAGGAGCGACGTGCACGTCGACACGGCCATGATGCCTGTGGAGAATGCCACGGCCTGGTCCTGGAAGGCCACTCCCGTGGTCAGCGTGGAGAGCAGCTTGACGCTCTTCGCCCCCTCGTTTGTCTCCGACCCCCACCTCTGGAGCTCACCCACCTGGATGGGCCAATTTCCCACCACCGCTGCCATATTTAGGACGGGGGAGAAGGGAGGATGGGGAGGTCCTCCTCTCCTCCTCCTTCTCCCTCTCCTCCTCCCTCTCCTACCCATGCGAATGGTGGCGGAAGGTTGGGCCCGTCACACACCTGGCTGCCGATGTAGACGTCGCCGCGCTGGTCGATCGCAGGGGTGGACCAGGCGCCCGGCACGCACGCCGCTCGCCCGCCCATGGCCCTGCGGATGTCGCCGCCTTCCTTGTCTTAGCTCGGGCATGCCCCCCTACACTGAAGGGGCCCCAGGACACACAAATAAATACACACAAATAAAAAGATTCCCCATATTCTCCGATATTTTTCGGGTTTTTGTCTTCCCCCCCACTTCCCATATGTTCCCATATGTTCCTGGGAGTGGACAATTCATTGTGTCTGTGTGTTTTTTTACCTCCTGATACACGCGGATTTTGCACGAACGGAGCAAATAGCAAAGAGAAAACCAGCATAATCAAACACAGTCAAAAAATCGTCCCAATATTATTTTTGACTATTTTTGGGATATTCCTCCCGTGGAGGGACGTGCCCGGCTCAATCCTTGTCGCCCGCGCACATGTCCGCCCACAGCGTCGGGCCGTCCTTCGACCAGCGGATGTCGCCGTTGGGGGGGTCGACGGCCCAGATCTTGGAGGGGGAGTTGTAGTGGCAGTTGTGCCCCATGGCGATCACGAGCCGGGAGTGGAACTGGGGGCTGTTCAGCATGCCTGAAAAGAAGAAAAACCGCCGTAAACACGAATATAAACTTTTGGCGCTCCGCGCGGATTTCTTGGATCTGCGCTGGACCTCCCTCCCTGGCGCGCGGAGCGCGCCAGGGGCGGCGCCGGAGGCGCCGCTGGGGGGCCCAGCGCGGATCCAAGAAATCCGCGCGGAGCGCCAAAAGTTTTTGTTTACGGCGATTTTTCTTCATCGAATGCCGACGGCGGCGCTGGCCGGGGGCTCTGGGGTCTCGCGCTCCCATCGCGCGCGGCCAGAGCTCGCGTTGAGCGCGCGCACCCAGCCGGGCGAGCCCGGCCACGTGCCGCAGTCGGGTAGGACGCCAGGGGCGGGGAACGGGTTGCAGTACTTGCTGTCGTATGCCTAGAAGGGAAACAAAAACACACAAACAGAAAATGTTGGCGCTCCGCGCGGATTTCGTGGATCTGCGCTGGACCCCCCTCCCTGGCGCGCGGAGCGCGCCAGGGGCGGCGCCGTAGGCGCCGCTGGGGGGGGGGGCCCAGGCGCGGATTCAAGAAGTCCGCGCGGAGCGCCAAAAGTTTACGCTTATGGCGTTGTTTCCTCTTCGAACGCCTGCACGCCCATGGCGAAGATGAGGTTCGTTGAGGGATCGTACACGGCGTTGGCTTGGGTGTAAGTGCCCATGGCCCCCTCTTGCATCCACCTCTCGGTCCCGGACTCGAGGTCCAGGCAGTACGTGTTGCCCTCCTGGTCGCTGAACATCACGGTCCCGTCGCTCGTGTGATACTGCGGCACAAAGTTCCACACCGGGGAGAAGGTCCTGTACTCCCACAGGGAGCTGCCGTCCGAGGCGCTGATGCCCCGGACGACCCTGTTGCCAGGAGTCAGTGGGTTGGAGCTGTTGCGGTAGCGGTAGCAGAGGTGGTCGGTGCAGCGGTCGGTCGCGACCACCACTACCCCGCCACTGCCAGAGACCGCGCCCTTCACGCCGGCGATCTGTTCCGAAGCCTGGGTCGCCCACAGCTCCTCTCCCGTCGCCAGCTCCAGAGCGAACACGTAGCCGGAGGTGGTGCTGCCCACCAGCATGGCAGGCGCGGACCTCCTCGGCGCCCGGATGCTCACGAACCTCTTTGAGCAGGGACCGACTGTCCCGGCAGTCCTATAGTCCTACCGCAACATGTTCTTAGAACCCGACAATGTTCTAAGAACAGAAACAATGTTCTTAGAATATAAGCCCGATGTGTTAAACAAGACAGTCCCAGCCAGAAATGTTCTAATATTTCGTGGAAACCACAAAAAGCCCTTAGAACATTCTTTGGTGGGGCCCGGCTATCAGCGAGCCGGGACGCTTCGCCACTGCTTGACCTCTTGCTCAGGGCGGAGAGGCCCGCGACGCTGCGGTGGCCGCTGCGCTGCCAGCGGATCGTTGCCCTCGGCTCGCCCCCAGCGACGTCCACCTTCTCGATCTGGCCGAGGTCCCCCGCCTTCTTTTGCGGCAGGCAGGCCCCAGACCGATGGCGGGGCTCGGCCAGGAGGCCGAGCACGCCATCGGTCTGGGGCCAAGGGGAGGGAGGGCGAGGGGGGAGGGGGAGGAGGAGGAGGAGGAGGAGGAGGAGGAGGAGGAGGAGGAGGAGGAGGAGGAGGAGGAGGAGGGGAGGAGGAGGAGGAGGAGGAGGAGGAGGAGGAGGCAGAGGAGGAGGAGGAGGAGGAGGAGGAGGCAGAGGAGGAGGAGGCCTTGTAGTACTCCTTGCCGTCCGCGTGGTACCCCACGCCCGGCTTTACCTTGACCCGGTCGCCCACCCGGAGCTCCCGGAAGAGCCCGAGGGCCGCGCCGGCGGCAGGCTCGGCCGCCAGGCGAGCGGCGCCCCAGGGCTTCAGAGTCTCTGGCGACAGCGTGTCCTCCAGCTGGGTCTCCTCGTCCCTGGAGAACGTCACGCCCTCCCGGTCCGAGTCGCCAGCGGTGGCCCCCAGCAGAGTGGGCGCGGCAGCGAGCTGGCCTCGGGGGGCATAGCTCCACAGGAGGTCGCCAGAGGCGCTGAACTTCCGCACGGCGTCGTCCGAGCCGAGGTAGATGTTCTGGTCGCCGTCGATGAGGGGGGCGCCCACCGGAATCGTGTTGTAGACACCGTTCGGGTGGTGCCAGCCCCAGGATATGTTCTCGGTGAGGTCCGAGGCGCCGATGAAGTCGTAGCGATCGCGGTTGGCAGAGTCCGGCCAGTAGAACTTGCTTGAGGGCGTTTTTTGCAGCTCCTCGCTGGTGTACCTGGTGACGCCGTACTGGTTCATCACCCCGAGCCGGGTCACGCCGCCCCCCCGCGGCTTGAGGGCGACCGCGACCGGCGCCAGCAGGGCTGCGAGGGTCGCCGCGCGGGCGGCCGTGGCGGTCATTTGTTTCGCGTGCAGATCGAGTACTGTATGGGGATGAACAGCGGCCGTCCTAGGCGCGTGTCTTAAGCCACAAAAGCTACGGAACTCCATTCTCTGCTCCTCTCCCTCCTCCTCCTCCTCCTCCTCCGCCTCCTCCTCCTCCTCCTCTTCCTCCTCCTCCCTTCTGCTCGTCCGCCTCCCATTACTGTTCCCTCGTCGCCGTCTATGTGATAATCCCACCAGCCCTCTGGGCGTCGGTGGTTTAGAGCGTTTCCTCTTCCACCCCTCCTTCTTCCCTTTCGGGGAGGGGTTTACCCCTCCCCCTACCCCCTCCCCGTGGACCTGGAGGGGGGGTCGCGAGTCGGGCGTCCAAACCGGCCTCGGCGAGGAAGCCAACATCCTTGATTTTACAATGGTTTTGGCTCCATTTTGGCCTCCTGGGGGGCGGACCCTAATTGACGCTCCCCTCTTGTTTGATCGACCTCCTCCAAGATGGCCCCAAGAAGCGCCCAGGAGGCCCAAAAGGGTTCCAAGATGGCTCCAAGATGGCCCCCAAGAGGCCCCCAAGAGGCCCCTAAGAGGCCCCCAAGAGACCCCCAAGATGCCCCAAGAGACCCCCCAGAGGCACCCAAGATGCTCCAAGAGGCCTCGGCGAGAATGCCAAAACGGCCTCGGCGAGAAAGCCACAATCACTGGTTTTACTAAGGTTTGGGCCCAATGCTGCCCTCCTTGGGGGGGACGCAAATTACTGCTCCCCTCTTGTTTGATCGATCTCCTCCAAGATGGCCCCAAGAGGCCCCCAAGAGGCCCCCAGGAGGCCCCCAAGAGACCCCCAAGAGGCCCCAAGAGACCCCCCAGAGGCACCCAAGATGCTCCAAGAGGCCTCGGCGAGAATGCCAAAACGGCCTCGGCGAGGAAGCCATAATCACTTGGTTTACTATTTTTGTTGGCCCCATTTTGGCCTCCTGGGGGGGACGCTAATAACAGTTCCCCTCTCGTTTGATCGATCTCCTCCAAGATGGCCCCAAGAAGCGCCCAGGAAGCCCCAAGAGGTTCCCAGATGGCCCTAAGAGGCCCCCAAGAGGCCCCCAAGAGGCCCCCCAAGAGATCCCCAAGAGGCCCCAAGAGACCCCCCTACAGGCACCCAAGATGCTCCAAGAGGCCTCGGCGAGAATGCCAAATCATTGATTTCACTAAGGTTTTAGCCACATGTTGGCCTCTTGGGGGGGAGCACTGATTAAGATCACTCCAAGAGCGCCTGGGAGAGCCCAAGATGACCTCCAAGATGGCTCAAGATATCCTAAGATGTCTCAGAATGGCTTCCTCTGTGTGCTGCCCACTTCCCTGATCCAGGCAATTCCTCTGGGTATCGTTTCTGGATGGGCTGGTGGGGATTCGCGAAGCGTCAACAATTCTTAGTCCTCCTCCGCCTCCTCTTGTTCCCTCCTGGATCGCGCCAGAACGCCATTCCTGGGATTCCAAAACCGCGGATTTACGTGACCGCTGCGCCCTGACAGCGCCAAGCCGTGCCAAAACACAATGTCAAGGACGTAAGCCATAAGAGTTAGCTGAACTGTCGGAATCGTTGAAGACGAATATGCGCGGTGCCCAAACCACAGTTTGGAGAAGGAACCGCACTACATCCGTGAAGCTCGTGTTAACTGTTATTAGCACGAATGTGCGACGCGCTGAAGCGAGAGCCACATGTTTGAAAACGCCCCGCCCTCCATCTGTGAAGCCCCTGCAATCTTTTAAACCGAATGTACGTGGCGCTATGGGAAGAAACACATGCTGAATACGGCCCGCCCTCCATCCGTGAAGCTGCTACGACTTTTCAATTTCAAGGTCATCAGTAGTGGGGAAGACTTAAATGAAATGCCCGGCCCGTCATACCGAGACGCCTCGGGGTGCGACGGGGAGGAATACTGTGCACGGAAGGGGGGCAGAAGCAGGAACATGCGGGCAATGATAATCTATATATACATATATATATATATATATATATATATATGCCAGAACTTTCTTGGGGCGGCCTCCAGAAGCTCCCGCGGGAGATCCCCGGTCACCTGGTAATGTCTTGTGAACGGGAATTCTGGAAAACCGGATCACTGGCACGTCCACAAACACTGCACAAATGATCGAGACATTCCCTATCATTCGTTTCGTCCCCCTGGATCTGGCACGTACCTGGTTTGCAATGCCCTGGCGCCAGGAGAGCAGTGCACAACTGGGTTGGATTAGGCTTCTGGGAGACTGGGGAGTCAGGGGGCGTTGTGGGGAGTCCATGTCTAGGGAGTCTGGGATGCACGGATGGACGGAGGACCTCCCAGCGAGGTGGCGTGTTGAGCCTGTGGGCGCAGCCTCCTTCGCAGGGAACTGCGGGACGCGCTGGGCGTTCCACAGCAGCCCAGCAACGTTGACCCCAGGGAGAGGCGTCGACCAGGGGCTTGGGGCGGGCGTTGGGCGGGAGGGGGCGGGTATGAGGTCCCAAATTCCACAATGCCCAGCTCCGCCTCGTACGCTCCCAGACGCCAGGGAGTCGGGGAGTCCGCCGGGGATCCCAAGCAGACCGTGGAGCGCGGGGAGCCTGGAGGCCTCCTAGATGGGGCCCGAGTAGATAGGGGTCGGAGGATCGCGCCGCATCGCCGATGCATCGGCGACGCATCGGCGATGCAGTGCTGCATCGGCGACGTCGGCGATGCATCGCCGACGTCGGCGTGGAGAAAATCGGGCTCCACATCGAGCCGCATCGCCAATGCATCGGCGATCCGGCGCGGACCACTGACCCCATCTGCTCCGACCCCATCCAGGAGGCCTGAAGGAGCGCGGGGAGCCCGCGGGGAGCGCGCGGAGAGTCCGAGGAATCGGGGGGAGTCGGGGCAGGGAGGGTCCGCCGGGGGGTCTGGGAGGACGTGCGGTGCGGGCCAGGGAGGCCCCGTGAGGAGGGGAGAAAAGTGGGGAAGGGGGGCAGACGAGGAAGCGTGGAGCAAGAAGCCGCGACAAGCTTTCAGTTTTGACACTCCCCCCCCCGCCTCCTCTCTCGGCGGTGAATGGGACTGGTCCTAAAGCCCCCTCGTCGCGGCGGAGATTATTTTCCCTGTATTGTTGGGCGGTGAATGGGACTGATCCTAAAACCTCCTCGCGTAAGGTGGGAGGAGTGAGAGAAGATGGACCGCTGGAAAGAGGGACGAGGATGACGAGTAAAATAGGGGGATGATCGTGATGATGAGGAGGGGGAGCAGCAGCAGCAGCAGGAGGAGTCAGGAAGAGGACGAGCAGCAGGAGCAAGAAGGAGACTTGCGCGATTTCCTCCTCCTTCTCCCCATCCTCTGTATTCCGGCACGTTGATCCATGATCTCCTTCTCCTCCTCCTGCTCCTCTTCCTCCTCCTCCTCCAACCCTGAACTCCTTACTGCCGTAATTACCCTCAGACGTGTTGTCAGGGCGGGCTGGGCGTTTCGCGTGGGCCTTCCTCCCCACTTCTGCGCCTGAAATTGGACACTCGTAACGGCTGGGAGGATGGGGCACACGTCGCTTCAGCATCTGCAACAACTTCTGGGATGGATGGGGATCCTTTTCAGAATCGGACTCTCACTTTAGCGCCACGCACATTCGTCTTCACGGTATGCAGCACATTCACAGGTGGAGGGGGGTCGTGTTCAAAATGTGGCGTTCGCCCGCGCACCGCGCAAATGTATACCACAACGCTGTAGCAGCTCCGAAGATGGAGCGCGGTTCTTCTCAACGTGCGGCTATCTCCTGAGCGTCTCCTGAGGCGCCGCGCACAGCCGCTTCACTCTTCTACGACAAGTGGAATGATAGAGGCAGGTGGTTTTGAAAATGGTGCTCTCGCTCAGGCGCCGCGCACACTCGTCGTCGACACTTGCAACAGGCTCCGAGAAGCAGCCTAGCTATAAGAAGTGGGCCCTCGCCTCAGGGCCATGCCTTTGAAGGGGCCCCGGGACACACAAATAAATACACACAGATAAAAAAGATGCCCCATAGTTTCCCGTATTTGTTGGGTGTTTGTCTTCCCCCCACTTCCCATATTTTTGCACCTTTTCCTGGGAGTCGACGATTGATTGTGTCTGTGTGTTTCTTTCCCTCCGGAGCCTTCTCGTATCGAGACCGTGCAACAAGGAGAAGCAGTGAGGACGGCAGTGGGTTGTCAACGCAGGTCGCACTGCACGGAACGAGGGGTAAGTCGGGCGTGTCCCACTACAGGGAGATCTTCGACGAACAACAAAAAGATACTAAAACATACTCCCAAATGGTCAAAAATATTCAAAACATAGCCCCCGTGTTATTTTTTGACTATTGTGGAACATCCCCCCTGTAGAGGGACAGGCCCGACTTAAAACGAGGGCGGCTCGTGTTCAAGATGTGCCTCTCCCTTGAGACGCGTTCGAAGTTCGTGGCCACACGCCAGGCGCTGCACAACGGTTGCACGGCTGGGCGAACGCTTTTTTGGTCCGAGGAGGGGGTGTCGCTGGACACCACGCGGAGCTCCGTGATATCCTACGATTTCGCGCTCCTGAGAACGCGCCAACTGGACCCAGCGCAAGTCGTGCTAAAGACTGGGCCCTCGCCAAAACCGCAACCCTGTGTGCGGCTGGTCTTCCAAGAGAGCCCTCCTTCTGCAGCGAAGGAAGAAGGCTTGCGGGAGCGTGTGCGGCGGGGACTTGGGGGACGGGAGGGCGCGCGACGCCGATGCTGAATTGGGTCTGCTCTGGTGCACGTCCGTATGCCCCCCCCCCCCCCCTTCTGGGGAAACCAAAAAAGGTACCGATACCGCTCCTCCCCGGGCCTCACCCCGGGTGCGCTCTGGCTGAAACTTCGAGGCGAGTCCAGCGGTGACGACGAGAGCCTCCGAGGAGGCCCACAGAGTGGAAGACGAGGAACGGGCAGAGGTATGGGTGCCTCTTCCTCCTTGGACCTTCACCTCGTGCCTCCCACGCCCGCCTCGAGCGCCTCCGTTCCAGGCCACGTCTCTGCATCAGCTCTCCGCCTCCCCCCGTCCGCCTGTGCACCCTTTGTGCGCTCCGCTCCCCACCCCTCCGCGTCCTCGTCCTGCTGGCACCGCCGCCCGCCTCCTAGATCCCCCGGGCCCGGGCGC